CAAGCCCACCCCCAACCATCGGGGAGGAGGGCTGAGGAGAAAAACACCAAACGGCCGGCTTGTTCAGAGGACCATCTGCTGGGCCGGGAACAGTTGCCAAGTCCTGTAGCCCACGTGGAAGGGACAGTCTCAGCCGGAAGGAGGAGGGAAGGAGAGCTGAGCCCCTTTCGTGCCTCTCACACAGATGGGAGGAAGAGCCTTAAAAACTTTTGGCAGACCTGTACCAATAATTTAAAGTGCTCATCTAATGCAAAGGATCCTGGGAAATGTAGTTTGTAAAGTGTGTGGGTAATGGTTGGGAGGCCCCCTATTCCCCCCACAGAGCTACAATTCCCAGAGTTCCCTGGGAAGTGGCACTGTAGCTCTGCGAAGGGGAAAAGGGGTCTCCTAGCAACTCTCGGCACCCTTAACAAGTTCCAGTTCCCAGAATTCTTTAGGGGAAGCCCTGAGCGGTATCACAGTGCTTTAAATGTATGGTGCAGATTTGGCCCTTGATGGGTGAGGATGCTCTGTGGCTACTCGGCAGCAAGGGAAAGGAACTGTGCACCTGCATGCTGCTTCTCACCTCCCCACTATGCCATCTCCTGTCTGCAGAGATGAACACAGGTGTTCTAACAGGTTGAGGGGCTGAATCCCAACTAAATGATGCCCTAAACATATATATGCTTTGAAAGATCAAGGATAGCTATCTTTTTGAAGTGATTCTCCGCTTGGAAAGGTGCTTGGTCCTAATTGGGTTTAAAGATAAGGACCCTTACAAAAAGGATGGGTTTGATGTTGCCTCTCAGCATCCATCATAGAATTTTAGAGTCAGTAGGGTCCCCAATGGTCATTTAGTCCAATCCCCCGCAATGCAGGAATTACAACTAAGGAATCTCTGACAATGTCCATCCAACTGCTGTTGAAAAACCTCCAATGAAGGATGGTCCACCACCTTCCGAGGGAGTCTGTTCCAGCAGCACTTGGGAGCAGAGTGAGCCGGCACACAGCCTTCCCCACCATGACAAGATATACTGTGTTTTCATTTAAATGATAGTAATTGCCTCCATTCATGAAAGTTGGCACTTGTACCTGTTATGCAGATCTGTGTCCTCTGCTGCTCTCTTTTTTTTGGCAAGGCCTTATGTGCCCAACCTGTTGAATTATCATGTTCAGCAAGTAAGCTTTGGCCTCAGCCTGAACTCAGACTGCAGTAGAGCAACTCCAAAATGTAGAATTGTGTCTAAAACCAGGAGAACCAACTTGTGGGAGCGGGGTGCTGCACCAGACCAGGAGCACAGGAGTAGCTCAGAGGTAATCTCCTCCTTTCCCAGAAGGAAGCGTCCGCAGTGGGCATGGGCAAGAGGGTAACTATAATGAGCACCTGGCCAGGCTGAGATCCAGCCGCCAAGTAGCTTGGCAAAGGGAAGCCCAACTCTTGAGAACTTAGGCCAGAGGTAGTGAATTTATTTCAACTAGAGGGCCACTTTCTCTCACAGGGTCACATGCCATGTACCGTGATGGTGCTATATAACTATAGGTAAAAGGTAAAGGGACCCCTGACCATTAGGTCCAGTCGTGGCCGACTCTGGGGTTGCGGCGCTCCTCTCACTTTATTGGCCGAGGGAGCCGGCGTACAGCTTCCGGGTCATGTGGCCAACATGACTAAGCCGCTTCTGGCGAACCAGAGCAGTGCACGGAAACGCCGTTTACTTTCCCGCTAAAGCGGTACCTATTTATCTACTTGCACTTTGACGTGCTTTTGAACTGCTAGGTTGGCAGGAGCAGGGACCGAGCAATGGGAGCTCACCCCGTCATGGGGATTTGAACTGCCGACCTTCTGATCGGCAAGTCCTAGGCTCTGTGGTTTAGCCCACAGCGCCACCCGCGTCCCGCTCATATAACTATAAGTTTGATAATAATCGTAATAACGCCAGTGGTAGATGGAGCCAGACACAAGAGTGGCTGAGGCTAGAAAGCCCGTGTGCTTAGAGTATAGTATTTAGATAGTTGGGACTAGGTCCCAGGAGAGACCAGGGTTCAAATCCTAAACTGGTCAGGAAGCTCACTAGGTGACCTCAAGATCAGTTACTGTCTCTTAGCCTAACCTAGCTCACATGCCTGTTGTGGGGGCTAAATGAGGAGATGTGGGGAGCCACGTACGCCGCCTTGAACTCCTTGGAGAAAAAGGTGGGATAGAAATGCAATAAATAAAAAAAAGTAGGCATAGTGTCGGATGTGAGTCTTACCATGCAAAAATTACTAATAATTACTTAGTGATTACTCACACTCACAAACATCCACCCCTGCCTCTCCATCTAGGCCTGAAAGAGCCATGATCACCCTTCAGAGAGACACATTCCAGCCAGGCAAACACACTTAAGGAAGGCAGAAGAGAAAGCTGGTGAGGGGTGTGGCCAGGGAAGAGGGTGTGTGGTCTAGGGAGAATTCTGAGGGCCACATAGAGATGCCTCAAGGGCCACATTCCACCTCTGGACCTGAGGTTCCACCTCCCTGGTCTAGATTCAAGCTGTTAGCCACCACCAATATATAAATAAAGCACACTGCCTGACAATGTTTATTTACTCAAGGAGAAGGCTGCTTTTGGCATGGCGGCCGGCAAACTCTCTAACAGCTCGAGTGTGACTGCTCAGATGCAGCTGAGGCCAAGTTTTCAGGCCAGGGGCTGGTGGGGTCAGGAGAAAACAAGCCGCAACATCAAAGGCCCTTCCAGGTCACCAAGGGAGAGTCAGACAACAAAGCCAGCCCCTGCAGCCTAACAGCAAAAGCCCCTCTGGGAAGCCCAGCTCCAACAGCTGTCCTCGCAGGCAGATGTTCCATACTGAAGAGGTTGTGGCCCAGGACTGCAGCTGTTCTGGAAGGCCTCTCTCCAGGCGAAGGGGGCAGGAACAGGCCCAGAAACAGGTTAGGGGGTGAGGAAGAGTCATCTAATCCCACCAAGCCACAAGAAAAGGAGATGAGAAGGAAGGAAGGAATCAGCCTATTTCAGGGAGTTGGAGGTGGCTCAAAGCAGGCACGATTGCTCACAGTGAGCACACTCAGCCTTTTGTTCTCTCTAGTGAACAGGTTTGGTAGGTTTTTGGAGGGTTTCTGAAACCTGCGGAGCTCATTTCACCAATGACAACCAAGGGGCAGAAGCAGTGAGGCTGGAGCATAGTTTCTGAGAGGGTTTATTTGACTGAGGCTTCTATGGTGTAGAAAGTTCTGCCTCACTGTTGCCCCTGGTCAAAGGTCTAGCGGTTTTTTACCTGAAAAACCTGCACACCCTGTTTAACCAAAGACAAAAGGTGGGATGATTGCCAGTTATGGTGGGTGCTGTCTCATTCAAACCACCATCAGCTCTCAGAACACCCCCCCCCACTACTGTCTGAATCCAACCTAAGGTATGTAGACCACAGCAACAATGCCTCTGGTTCCAGTCTGCAGTAACGCTATACTGCACATTTCTGCAAAAAGGTTGGCAATCCCTGTGCTCAGATCATCAGCAGAGAGCCTTCTCTGACTGCCCACTCCATCTCAGGAACAGCTACGAGGGTGAGGGGCTTCTCAGTGGTACCCCCTATCCCCAGATTTAGAATACTTTCTCTAGAGAAGTCAGAGGACTATGGCATGGGACGGTGACATAACAAATAAATAAATTCAACTTAGCAAAAGGGGCTTTGTGCCACCAATACCACTTGAGCACCCATTACCGGGGCTGCATCTCATAGCACCTAGAAGCTGTGACCCCAATCCTTAAATGGGAGGGCAACTCCATCCAGAGCAGGCCAAATGCCATCTCCTCCATCAAGGCAGACGGAGTGCTTAATCCTCATGCAGCCCCATTACTGAGTCTGGGCATGGACTGAGAACATTCACTTGCACATTTGGGGCAGATGAAAAGCAGCAAGAGAACTAAGCCTCATCAGCACACACAGAACAACCCTTCAGGGCTCCAACTACCTGAAAGAGCTTATCATACACCCGCATTTCATGAAAATTAGTTGCTGGGCTGGGGGGAAATCACATTTTTCCAGCATTTAAACAGTAACTGTTTGAGCATTGGAGAAATGGCTAAATGGTTATAAAGACAAACATCTTTCCTGGCTGGGTGGGAAAGTGGAGTCTGATTTAGATGTGGTGCCAAGCATGAATTTTCTCACGCGGTCTTCGTGTTTAAACTGGGTCCTCAGCCATTAGGACAGCAAGGCTGGCAAGCATGTCTAGGCAACAGGTGCACTGGCATGCTGGCAATGCACATGGCACACAAAGGGAGCCAAATGAAATCCTCCTCCGTCCCTATCTGCCCTTCCCCAAGGGAAATTTAAAGAAGGGCATTCTGAAGCTACTATCCAGCAGCCTATGTGCTTATTTCAGTTCCTAATGACCCATAACTTGAGGTAGCGGTTGGTTGGGTGGGATACAATACACCCACACCCACACCCCAAATCCGTATTTACTGGTTCCCCATTTGCTACCGGGCCGAGTTCAAGGTGTTACTATTAGTTTACAAAGTCCTGAATTACTTGGGGTCAGTTTACCCACAAAATCGTCTTACCCCATGTACGCCCGCTCAACTGCTTTGATCGGCCTGAGCTGACACCGTTACAGATGTCACATAATACTCATTCTGCATTTGTAAGAAATCGATCTTTTGCTGTGGCAGCACTCACACATTGGAACTCCCTGCCTCTTGAAACCAGGCAGCCGCCTTTGCTGTACCCTTTTCGGCACCTGCTAAAAACATTTGCCTATCAAGACATATAGAACACTGACATGTCTTTTAATCTGGTTTTCAGCTTGTTGCCAATTTTAATTCCTTTTAAAAATGTTCTACATAGTTGGGTGGTTTTGTTTTGTGTTTTTACTGTTTACTGATAATTTTATCGTTCTATTCTTTTTGTAAACCGCTTTGAGGTTTTGGGTTTTTTGTTTGTTTTTACTATCAAGTGATGTATAATTTATTTATTTTTTGAAATAAATAAAATGCAATAAAGAAAGAAGGCTAGAGGCCTACTCACTGGGACAAATCAGTGCCTCCTTGGCAGTGATGCTCTTGTTGCAGGCATAGCACATGGTCATGCCTGAGACGGTGATGGAGGTGAAGAGGTGCCCGTTGGTGTAGCGGGCATCTTTGCTCTCCTTCATCCTTTCTTTCTCTTTGTTCTGCGGGAAAGCAAGAAAGAGATGGGTTAGCAGCAGTGACCAGTGACCTCTCCAGAAAAGGGCCTCTGAATCAGACGTATGTTTCAGGCTTGCCAATGTGGCTCCGCCGCAGCAGGTGTTTACAGCCTGTGTGCAGTTTCCATCTTGCCAGCATTTACACATCCAAGGAACTGGGGATGGGGGTGGCCCCACAGACAGGTGTAACACAGACATGAGACAATATAACCCTCTAATCGTTAAAACCCCATTTAAATTCTGTGTGAAGAGAAAAACACACCTGAAAACAAAACTAAGCAAAATACCCAAGTCTTAAGCCCTGCTGCTGATTTAAGGCAATTGTGTTACAGTGCTGACATGCTCTGCTCTTTTTGCACTTGCTGCTCAAAGTCCGGCCGCGTCCAGAGTTGGAAATGTCATAATCGGGAGCGCATAAAGGAGAGCCATCACAAGGGAAAGCCAAGCCAGAGAATTTGTTCTCTGTTTCCTCTTGAGCCACCCTAATTCCCTTCAAATACATTGTGCACATAGACACCCCAGGAATGCGCCCCGCTCTTCCTTTGCTACCCTCTGCCTCACCCTGAGGTTCCTCTAAAATGTTTTGGCACCAGGATCATTTCTGTACACAGTCACGGTGGCCAGGCTAACCAGGGATGTTCCTTTCACGCAAGAGCATGAAAGGAATTAGCTGCTACATTCAGACTGGTGGGGGGTTTTAAAAAAAGAATATTGGGCTTTCAAAGTTACAAGAATCTTAACGTTTGCCTGTGCCAAACTGCTACCCAAAGGCACAAACCTCTGTCCAACAATTCCACACACACAATCTACAATAAAGGGGCAATCTAGGTGGCTAAAGTGAACAAGACAAGCTACATGGAATCATTGAATTATAGATTTGGAATGGGCTCCCAAGGGTCATCTAGTCCAACCCCCTGCAATGCAGAAATCACAATTAAATATCCCTAGCAGATAGCTATTCAAACTCTGCTTGAAAACCTCCAACGAAGGAGGGTCCACCCCCTTCTGAGGGGTCCGTTCCACTATCGAACTGCTCTTACCATCTGAAAGTTCTTAATGTTTTGTCAGAATCTCTTTTTTGTAATTGGAATCTGTCAGTCCGGGTCCATCTTCCATGTGACAGCCCTTCAGGTATCTGAAGATGGTGATCATATCCCCTTCTCAGTCTTCTCTAGGCTAAACATACCCAATTCCCTCAACCGTTCCTCACAAGGCTTGGCTTCCAGACCCTTTATTATCTTGGCCGCCTTCCTCTGCACAACTACCATCCAGTCAATATCCTTCTTGAACCATGGTGCCCAGAACTGGACACAGGACTCCAGGTGAGGTCTGACCAAGGCAGAATAGAGCCGTACTATGACTGTCTCATGAGCTGGACTAATTTGTGAAGGTTGATCCAATCTGGAGTGTGAAAAGAAACCGTTCTGCCAAATCATCCTAAGTGAAAAATAAATTAGGCACAAGCCCCCCACCCCATCCCTGGCAAAAAATAGCACGACACAAAACAACCTTCACGGAAACGAACTTCTGCTAACGAACACGCACAAGCAGAATGGTTGACCCAGCCTCGGTCCTCCTCCAACACACCTTTGCCACAGTCCCTCTCCGGCTTGGCTGCCGTCTGTTCCAGCTCATCCCCGGACTAGGGGGATCCCGGCAGGGTCTTGAGACTCCGAGCCTCAGCTGTCTCTCATAAACCGTAGGGTAGCTCATCTTCCGTTGAGGTGGGATGCTACTGAGACATCTAACCACCACCACTCTTACCAACCAAGGCTCCAGAAAGAAGCAGGAAGGGAGAAACCAGTATGTAGACCCAACTTGAGCCTGGAAAGCCCAGATTGCAGAGATGCAGAAGGAGGAGGTGGATATGAGGAGGTGGATGGGAGAGAGAGAGAGAGAGAGAGAGAGAGAGAGAGAAAGAGAGAGACACCCATGCAGTTCATCTTCTCCTGTACCTCTCTGCTTCCAATAACCATGACAACCATATGTCTGACTGAGAAATTCCACCACCACCCCCAGCGCACGTGCCTACAGTCCTCAGTGTTGAACAGTCTATAGAGAAAGGTCTTGCTTCATCATGTCTTCATTACCGGGGCGGGGGCGGCAGGATTATTTAGAAGGCTGGGTCCAAGAAATATTTAGTTGAAATAAAAAACGGTGCAAATGCTCGAGCCAAGCCCCGCTTCCCCCAGTGTTTGGGTAATACACACACACACACACACACCCTCCAACTTTTAACCATTTTAAAAGGGATAATCAAGTGCATCAACCTGCAAAACGCCAGGCTGGCTGGCCAGAACACCTGGGCTGCCTGCCTTGCAAAAAAACAAAAAGAAAAGTGTTTTCCTTCTGTCTACAAGGGGGTGAGCTGGCTTGCAAAGTGACCAAAGGGGGGGGGGACATGCACAAAAAAGGACTACAAAAGGGACAAAGATTTGTATTAAAGTTCATGTATGCTAATGTATATGCATATATGTATGTTTGGTGGGAACGCGGGTGGCGCTGTGGGTAAAAGCCTCAGCGCCTAGGGCTTGCCGATCGAAAGGTCGGCGGTTCGAATCCCCATGGCGGGGTGCGCTCCCGTTGCTCGGTTCCAGCGCCTGCCAACCTAGCAGTTCGAAAGCACCCCCGGGTGCAAGTATATAAATAGGGACCGCTTACTGGCGGGAAGGTAAACGGCGTTTCCGTGTGCTGTGCTGGCTTGCCAGATGCAGCTTGTCACGCTGGCCACGTGACCTGGAAGTGTCTCCGGACAGCGCCGGCCCCCGGCCTCTAGAGTGAGATGGGCGCACAACCCTAGAGTCTGGCAGGACTGGCCCGTACGGGCAGGGGTACCTTTACCTTTACCTTTATGTTCGGTGCACATACTTCTTCTCCCCCGTCTGTCCTCACAACAACCCTGTGAAGTAGGTTCGGCTGAGAGTGAGGGACTGGGCCCAAGGTCACCAAGTGAGCTTCACAGCCAAGTGGGGATATGGACTGTGGTCTCCCAGGTCCCAGTTCAACACTACAGTCATTTATGGCATTTATATCCCACAATCTTCTAGGGGTGGAGGCCCTGCTTGTTGCAGCAAAAGGTTATCGCAGCACATTGAGGGCTAAAGACCAGTACAGTACAATCCAACAATGTCTACTCAGTAGTAAACCAACTCTTAAAAAAATATATCTCATAAATCATTGTCAGTATTTTAATGCAAATTATCTTAACGAACACATATTTGTATGCAGTTTTGACAAAGTGCAAGGTGAACAGGTTTGCCTTTAAATGCAAACTGGATCATATCTGTCCCTGATTCCTTGCTGGGACTAGTGTGTGTCTGCTGAGCTCCAGAGCCCTCCTCTTGCACAGATTTTGAAAACTGACATTGTACAACATCATTCCCTGTGATTGACAGGCAGAATGAAGCTTTTTGATTGGCCAGGCCAAGTAGAAATGCTGGGATCCTGATCTTACGCACTTCAGATTCTGGGGGAGGTTTCAACTTGGGGATTTTGGAACAGGTTCTGGCTCAGATAACTTGAAGAAGTGGAAACTGACCCAAACAGAGGGAAAGGCAGAGGGGGTGCAATTTCAAAACCGGGAAAGCTCAACCTGGAAAACTGGAGCTCTGCCGGCAGGCTTTTGACCGACAATCAAACTGCAATACTGGGGAGCCCATCGCAGGTCAGCCTAAACATGGCCAAAAATGCAGATGGAAGAGCGAGAGGGTTGAGGGCCTACAGGCCCTGTGACCTGCTCGGGGCATAGCCAGGCAACTGGGTTGCCATGGCAGCTTCCCTTGAAAAGGGGAAGTGAGACAGGGACTTCCTGTTGCCAAAGCTTTGAGCAAGAGGTGCAGAGGCTTGGCTATTTTTGACTCAAGAGCCACCCTAGCCTCACGTGTCTGAGAGAAGGGGGGTGGCAGGCACTGCTGCGTTGCACATTTTCTTGGGAAACAGAGAGGCTGGCACAGAGCGGTTGTCTTTGGCAGGGATGCCACATCCGAGGCTTTGCAACATGATCAGAACCGATTGCATAGAAGGCACCAGTGCGCTTTTAAATTTGCTGAACCATCTGTGCGTCCAAGATCAATTTAAGGCTGCTGGGTCACTGTCTCCTGGGTTCCATAAGTTCTCCCCCTGGTGCCTCCTACCCTATAAAAATAATAATACGCAGAATAGCATATTTTGCACAACCCACTAGGGGAGTGATGCTTGGGGAGTGGCCCAGCTGCGCCCCTACCTGGACAGGGGCAGCCTAACTTCTGTTGTCTGTGTAACCTCTAGGTTAGATTACCGCAACACGTTATATGGGGCTTGGAAACCACTGGTTTAAGGCCTGCTTTTAGCACACCAGCAACACTGCACTAGAGGTCTGAAGGTCGTCCCTTTGAGTGTGCGCTGCAGAGAAGGCATTTCAAGAGACACACTCACTTCCCTCGGCCGCAGGGCCTCACTGTCATGTGTGACTTGAGAAGGGAAGCATCAGTAAAGGCAGACATTTCATAAGTGACTCCGATAGGCTTCCTAGGAACCCACTATTTAGAAACCAGCAGGCGACACTGTCACAAGGGAAGCAGATTGGGTAATTTCCTGGTTAGTCTGGTGAGGCAGAGCAGATGAGCTGGATTGCAAAGTCTCTGCTTCTGAGAATAAGAGAGGGTCCCGGGAATTGAAGGGTGGTCCTTGTCAGATTGGGGGTGGAGAATGGTGGGGCAGGGCTGGGGCTTGTGATGTCTGGCAGGGGCAGAGGATGGGGCACGGCTGTGCCTGGCACTTCTAAGGGTGAAGCTTGATGGACACCCCAGAGCAGAAGGAAGATAAGCTCACCCACCAAATCAGAATTCAGCCTGCAATCTTGACCTGGGGTCCTGAGGTTTTAGGGCTTCCTTTGGTGGAAAGCAGTGCCCCAGAGGGGGAATACCGTGGAGGGGGCACTCAGAGGTGTAGTGGGGGGGCTGGGGGGCACGGGTGGATTTTTTTAGACGGGGCGCAACCAGACACCC